TTGCTTTCTTTCAGTTGAGTGTTACCTAGTAAAACATCTTGATTCCTTTAATGATCTTTTTGCTCCTTATTCTAAAGTCATTTTCTTAGTTAGTTGCTCTAAGACTTACCACAAACCTCTTAAATGATCAGAATCCCCTTTGGATTTATGCCAACCTAATTCCATCGAGCCTTAGAAGCATCACTTTTGTTTAGCTCTGTGACATCATCCCCCTTTATGTTATCATAGTGATATGCATTACTTCAATATATGTGAGTAAGTCAATATTTTTATGATTAATTGCTTTATTCAATTTTATGTTTATTAAAGAGTCAGAAGAAAGGAGAGCAGGTATACTTGCATAAAGTTTGTTATATCAACGTCCCATTTGCCATTTCTGGTTCTTTCCCCGTGTGTCTGTGGATGAAGGTTCTATCTGCTGTCATTCCTTTCCCTGTTATAGCTTCTTCCTACTGTCCTCACGCTGTTACCATTAAACACCCTACACTTCGATACCTTAGGCCTGAGCAGTACAATTATACGCATATGTTTTGTACAACTGCTTTTTGAAAATTCTATAAGGAGAAAAGAGAAGAAGTATTCACACTGTCTTCTGTAATCACACAGTTACTTTGAATGTTGTGCTTTGTTTTTCACGTGGATTTGGACTACAGCCTGAGATCAACTTCTTTCAGCATAAGGAATGTCTATTTGTATCTTTCTTTCTTTCTTTTCTTTTTTTTTTTTTTTTTTGGTAAGATGAGTCAATGACAATTCTTGGAGACAATCTTCCACAAATTATAGAACTCAACAAAACCATGCCCTGGGCCTGGAGTATACATATCAACTCTTTCCACTGCTAACAGATGGCAGTAGAGGTTCCTCAAAAGCATCATCAATGTATTTAAGATGATCTTGCTTAGAGCCAGAACTGTAAATAGAGGAAATTTCAGTAATTCTGGTCAGTGTGCTAAGAGAGCTTTCTGGGGTTGTGACCCTGGGAAGGTCAGCAAAAGGCAAGCTCTCAGACACAGGCCAGAGCCTCAGAGCTGTCCAAGTGGCTCCATCGGGTAATATGACCCACAAGACAGAGGAGAGGAGACCCGCAGCTCTGGCTCCTGCCCAAGACCAGAAAGGATTCTCAATTATGCTGCACTGGCTTAAAATAGGTCATATCTACTCTCTTAGTCATTTTGCAGTGACCCTGTAATCTAAACCAGCTTCTTGCTCTCTATTTAATTTGGAAAAATCATTAAAACAAAAACAGAACAAGCGCCCAATTTAGGAAAGACCTGCTGCATAACACATAATTCCAGTATTTCCAGAAAACGAGTCTCTTGGGCTATACCTGGATTGGGAGAGGTAGTGCCCAGCACGATAGATCAGGCATTCTGCTCCACCTCATCTACCATTTCTCTTGAATGCCTCATGAAACTGACCCTGGGACTCAGATGCTATTATCTTCTGTTTATAGAAGCAGAATCTGGAGTCCTGAGAGTCGAAGTAACTGGCCCAGGTCACAAAGCCAGTAATTGGAAGTCGAGTTAAAACTTGGGTCTTTGTGTTCCGGGTCTCGTGAGAGTTGCAAGGGTCAAAACAGTCAATTTGAGATGGAGAGCATCCTCTGAGTTCTAGGGAGGTGGAAGCATTTTTCTTAATCATTCCACCCTTCCCCATTCTGCCTGCAGCCAGCTTGTGCTCTCTGGTTTTCTGTTTTACGTGTGGACGGAGGCTCTGATATTGACACATTCTGTCTGATGATACAGTGGATTGGACATTTCTAGCATAATCATAGTTACTTTCCATCCTTTTCGCCAATGCCAAGGATCCCGTGGGAAATGTGAAAGTCCTCTCCTCATGCTGTAAGGAGAATAGAGAATAAGTACTCACATTTGCCCTCTCAGTGGTACAAGCCTGCACTGGGGTTTGCTCATGTGTAAAGCGGTCTCGAAGGCCGTGATCCCTAGGATGCTTTCCTCGTGGTATGATAGGAGGAGCTAACCAGATGCCTGGTCAGTGGGTTGACTTCTTTACAAATGAGTCGCATGACCTTGGGCAAATCATTTTACCTTCCTGGACCTCCACTCCTTCCTCTGGAAAATGAGAGGGTTGTACTTGATCCTTCTACATGTCCATGACCTAGGATCAGGACTTTTTATGGCCTCACTGGACTTCCAGAATTGGAGAAGGATAATTCAGCTGGCCCACGAGCTTATATTTCCCCTGTCTTAACATCACTCCCGTCATCAGACACAGGCCCATGGCCCGGGTCCTTGCCTGTGTCAGATAACTTTTATAAAACATCCCTAAGATAATCAGCTTCCAAAGAGAAAAGCTCTGGGGGGGTGGTGCTCGTGGCTTTGGGGGCTCTAGTCCATGATCCACTGGCTCTTTTCCTTTGGCCTGTGGCAAGGAGGTCTGTCTTGGCGTATGGTGAAGTAGTCAACTGCTTACCTTTGGCCAGCAAGCAACCAAGAGAAGGAAAAGGAGACAGGGTCCCACAGTCCCCTTCTAGGGCACAGCCCCAAGGATCTGAAGGCCTTTCATCTGGCCTCTCTCCCTCAAGGCTCCACAGCCTCCTGATAGTGCCATGGACTGGGGACCAAGCTGTACCATGTGGGCCTCTGTGGGACAGTCAAGATCTGAACCCCACATTGCCAGCCACACCCCCACCCATTCCTATTGATACTTTGTGCTTCTGTCTTCTGGTTGGTTATTTGGGTTTCTGAATTCAAGGACTTACTCTTCCCAGCCTTGGTACTGCTGTGCTCTAAAATCCCAAGATATTAAAGACACTTACAGCTTGTCCTGAGCCTTACTATATCCTTTCTATACTATGTTTTGAACTCCTGTATGCACCAAGAGTCATCTCACCTAACCCTTGCAACATGTTTTGAAATACATTGTTACCCCACAGGAAAGGTAAAGAAAATGAAGGCCAGGAGAATGCAAATTAAAACTAGAGAGACTCCATCTCACTCCAGTCAGAATGGCAATTATCAAGAATACAAGTAACAATAGGTGTTGGCAAGGATGTGGGGAAAGGTATACTCATATATTGCTGGTGGGACTGCAAATTGGCGCAACCACTCTGGAAAGAAAGTATGGAGATTCTTCAAAAAGCTAGGAATGGAGCACCATTTGACCCAACTGTCCCATTCCTTGGTTTATATTCAAAGGATTTAAAATCAGCACATTACAGTGACACAGCCACAACCATGTTTACAGCAGCTCAATTTACAATAGCTAAGCTATGGAACCAACCTAGGTGCCCTTCAACAGATGAATGGATAAAGAAATTGTGGTACATGTACACAATGGACTATTACTCAGCCATAAAGAAGAATGACCTGAGGAGATTTGCAAGTGAAGAGCTAGACCTGGAGACTGTCATACTTAGTGAAATAAGCCAGCCCTCAAAAAAACAAAGTTCAGATATTTTCACTGATATGTGAAAGCTAAACCACAATATGGTGGGGGAGAGGGTAAGAATAAATATTCAGTAGATTAGACAAAGGGGAAGGAAATGAAGGAGGGGAGATAAGAAAAGGAAACACAGTGGAATGAATCAAATGATTTTCTGATTGGCTTGGCTAATGGTGAGTGGAAGACTGGGTCACCGCGGGACGATTCGCCCAGAGGAGTCCTGGAGTTGAGGTCCTGTTCCCAAATTATTCGTCTGCTTCCAAGCAGGGGTGGAATGAAATGACTATTTGAAGGTAACCACAGTGTCTCATCTGAAGTTTATATAGAACTGTAGAATTTATCATAGAAGGTATCCATAGGTCATAACCAAGAACCCTTCTTGAAGACAGAGAGCCAGTGTAGAGGGGAAAAAAAATGTGGGGGTTCCTACAAGTGGGTAAGGAGAGGACTTTCCCATTTGATTTGTAGGATCTGTGATTTTGGACTCAGTACCCAACCCTTGGCAACCATGTCCCCTGTCGCAATTATAACCAATTAAATGATGTATTCAAGCAAACTACTTGAAAATGACTTGCAGGACCATTTCCATCTTGGAGTTTCTGTGGGCGTGGGTCCAAAACCTGGGAGCTTCTGGGCCTGGTTCAGCCCCCTACCCTCCTGAGATCCCTTTCAGGGACAGAGCTGAGACAACAGAGGAGGCACCTGTCCCTTCCCACCTCACTTACATTCTTTGGGAAGAAAAGAAGAAGAGAGAACCCCAAGCTTTAGACTGGGTGTTCAGATGGCTCCTAACTGGCTTGGGAAGTAACATTAAGGAAAGTTAACTACAATTTTGAAGGTCAGAATCATAATGTGGGTATCTTGGTGGTGGGAAGTAGTTTTGTAGTAAAGCTTTGTGCAGACACAGTATCTCTAGTTCACATATCGCTGTTAATAACTAGATGGTGGGTTAAGTTTTGTGTTGTTGTAGGGACTTGGCCCATGTATAACTTGAATAAAGCTGAGCACATTTTCTTCTTGCCAAAACCTATTCCTTGTTGCTATTTAAAAAATTTTTTAAAAATTTGTTTTAATTAGTTATACATGAGAGTAGAATGCATTTATTTATGCTCTTTGATCGATCATACATAGATGGGGCATGATTTCTCATTTTTTGATTGTACATGTTGTAGAATCACATGGGTCATGTAGTCATATATGTACTTAAGGTAATAATGTCTGTTTCATTCTACCATCCTTCCTATCCCCATATCCCCTCCCCTCCCTTCACTCCCTTATACCTAATCTAAGGTAACTGCATTCTTCCCTAGTACCCCCTCCTATTGTGAATTAGCATCCACATATTAGAGAAAACATTTGGTCTTTGTTTTTTTTTAGGATTGACTAATTTAGCTTACTATGATAGTCTCCAACTCCATCCATTTACTAGCAAGTGCCATAATTTCATTCTTATTTAAAGCTGAGTAATATTCCATTGAGTATATAATATATTTTCTTTATCCATTCATCTATTGAAGGATACCTAGGTTGCTGTTTTATTCTCTACCTCCACGTTGGTCTTTTCACATGGGAAACTTGCACACAAAACTCTTCAGGCTACTTATGAGTGCCTATTGTTCTCCAGGGACCATCTAATATATAGATGGTTCTTTTTATATAGACAGGAAAATAGAGACACTTATTCAAGAATAAGAAGCCAACATTCACAGTTTAGAATATATCCCCATATGTGTAAAAAATAGTAATTTAAAAAAA